AGCTCCTAGCACTGCACTTGGCCCGTAGAAAGTGCTCAATATTTCCTTGTTAAATGTGTTTGAGTGAGAAAATGAAAAGCCCTTATGGCCTGTTAGAGTCAGTATGGCTTCTCTTCAAATCTCCCTTCCCCACTCTCTCTTCACCCACCACCAACTTAAATACATACATAGGAACCAAGGTTGTTTCTGCCCCATGCAAGTTGGGGAGTCATTTAACCTCTCTATGCCTCAGCCTCCTCATCTGTAAAATGAGGATAATAATAATACTTGCTTCAAAGGACTGCCATGAGGATTAAATGCGTTAATATATGTAGAGCGTTTACAACGTTATCTGGCATGTTGTAAGTACCATGTGTTTGTTCAATTAAAACACAATCCTGACTCACTACTGGAGTTAGCCCAGATGTCACAGGTGAAGGGCACCATCCTCCACAAGATTGTCCTCACTTCAGACACCAGCCACAAGCTCAGGGGTTCCCAAGCCACCCATGCTTCTGTCCAGCTGTCTACAGATTTCGGAAGTTCCCACTTTACCCTCTCAGGTCCAATAATTCACTAGAACAACTTATACAACTCAGGAAAGTGCTGTACTTACGATTACAGTTTTATTGTAAAGGGTACAAATCAAGACCAGCCAAATGAATAGATGCATAGGGTGAGGTCTGGGAGGGTCCCAAACTCAAAGCTTCTGTGTCCTCAGTATGCTTCTACACCCTCTTGGCACATCAATATATGACTACCAACCAGGAAGCTCACCTGAGTTTCAGTGTCCAGAAGGTTTTTATTGGGGTTTCATTACATGCAATTACATGATTGATTGAACCACAGGCCATGTGACTGAACTCAATCTCCAGCCCCCCGTCCTCTCCAGAGGCAAGGTTGGGGCTCAAAGCCCCAACCCTTTAATCACGCATTGGTCTTTCAGGCCTGGCCAGCCCCAACCCTGAAACCATCTAGGGGCCTACATGAGTGACCTGGTTAGCATAAACTCAGGCCCACCATGAATAACAAAGACACTCCTATCAGTGGGGAAATTCCAAGGATTTAGAGGTTATCTCCCAGGAACCAGGGACAAAGATCAGCCAAGTTCTTTATTATTCAATATAAATAAAGTTTACTCAGTTGAATAGACAGAGGGGGCAAGGAAAGCATTCCAGGAAGGGGATGTCAAAAAAGAAAGAGGCAGAAATAATGTCTGGCACAGTAGAAAGACCTCCCTAGCTGACTGGGCTTTGCTATATGGGAATGCACCAGCCTTGAAGTCCACAGACCAGTGCTCTGACCATCGTTCTGCTATTTGATAACTACAGTGCTGTCTTGTAGGACTACATAGATCATTGCAAGTCATCTTAAATCCTTTCTATGAGAGATGGGTATAATTTAAACACACACACACACAACTTAGTGGATTAAAACAACAAAAATTTATTATTTCTCACAATACTTGATTAGGCAGTCTGGAAACTGGTGGCCAGATAGCCATTAATGATTATTCTTAAAAGTCATGTAGATAAGCAATATATTATGAGACTCCCACTAGGTACCTTACAGATAACATCTCTGATGCTTGGGTCACCCTGGTAACAGGTGCTTAAGTTGTTTTTCAGGAACTGAGAGTCCATTCCTTGTCCAGTTCAGGCTGGTTGAAACCACTGACCCATCAACTGGGCCTGCGAGAATGTCCGATAGGTGACCCTTTGACGTCAGGGGGGCTGAAAACTCCACCCTCAGATCATGATAATGCTGCCATTTTGTGAAGAGCCATGAAGCTTGACTACGCTTGTGCAAATCATCAATTACCTCACTTTTCCTTCCCTCTAATCATCTCTCCCCATACTTCAGACCACCCTGCCCCTCTATCCCATAAATATCCCTAATCCCCATTTTTGGGGAGGCAGATTTGAGATTTGTTCTTCTGTCTCCTCACTTGGCTGCCTTATGAATAAACCCTTTCTCTGCTGCAAAACTTGTCTGAGTGATTGGCATACTGTGTGGTGGGCCTACTGTGGCATACTGTGAGCCTGGTCAGTAACAGTTTTCTGGCTCCATGTGGTGCTATCAGCTCCACTGCAGTTCCTGTGACTGCATTCAGCTGGCTGATGGCTGGGCTGAAAGATCCAAGAAAGCCCCCATCACACGTCTGGGGCCTTGGTGCTGCCTGCCAGGGTGCCTCAGTTTTCACCCACACAGCCTCTCTCTACATGTGACATCTCATCTTCCCGTGCTTCTCCACACGCTGGCCTCTCTCCAGCAGGATAGCCTAGACTTCTTGACAAGAGAGCGAAAGCAGAAAGTGCCAGGTGTCTTAAGGCCCAGAACTGGCACAGCATTTTTTCCACCATGTTCTATTAGTCGAAGCAGATCACAAGGCTAGTCCAGATTCAAAGGGAGGGGAAACAAACTCCATCCCTTGATGGGAGAGGCAGCATGTTGCCTGTGCATACAAGGAAAGGAGGAATCATTGCAGCCATCTTTGGAAACTCTACCACATTCTCTGACTCTTCATTTACTTATCTGAAAATGGGTATTTTAATATCTACCTCAACTAGATTAATGAGAGGATTAAGACATATGGTATGTGACGTGTGATAGCATTTTATAAATTGTAAAGTGCAAAACAAGTACAAGATATCATAGTGGTGGGTGATAAAGTCTGGAGATAAAGATTGGAGAATGAGCAGATTATACAAGGCTTTAAAAGATTTATGATGTTATTGTCATAATAATAACAGTTATTGAGCATTTGCTATGTGCCAGGCACTGTACTAATTACAGGTATTATCTTCTTTAATCATCACAACAACCTTAGAAAATGGATATTTTCGTGCCATTTTACAGAAAAAAAAAACTGCAAGCACGTGGTACAGCCAGAATTTGAACCCAATTTTGTCTGGTTCCAAAGTCTTAACTACTGCACACAGAGTTCTTTTTATCACTTAAATCATAATCAATTGGCAATTGGGTAAGGGGAGATAGCAGCTAGCCTAGAACTCCTGAAACAGCATTTTGGGAGGCAGAACCCAGAATCTGCATTTTTAACAGCCACATTAATGTGGGAGAAGCATTCAACTTCATTGTACTATAGTGAGCCTTCTCAGGTTTTTCATTTCAGTAGTTTAAAGACACTCAGAAGACAAGCTTAGAGGAAATTTAGTCTTGCAGATGCAGAAGAAAACTTGAATACGAAAAGTGCCTATAAGTGGGGAGAATAACGAAAAATTAAAATAATATTTAAAAATAATTATGTTTTCTAGAGCTTGATGCTAAGCTAGGGAAATGAAAGTAAGACTAGAAAGGTTAGAAGCCAGACCCAACAACTTGCAATTAACCAAGTTTATATGTTATTTATTAATTCATCTATTTTATGCCTCATTGCCTTTGGGCATGTGTGACCAGGGAACCAGGCAAGGAAAGGGTTACTGAGAATCTGATCAATAACTAACATGGTCTGTCAAATGTTTTCCAGACAAGGAGAAACTAAAAGTTCTGTTTTTCAGAAGCTGATGTCCCAGTTTTGCAGATGTTGCCATCTTGCAGAGAAACTTGCACTTGCAGCAAAACCCCTGCAAAAGGCTCCAGCCCCAAGCTCCAAAAGATACCTTGAACTCGTTATGTAATGGTACGTTCCTTGAACTAATCATGTGATGGCATGTTACCTGGAACTCATTATGTAATGGTCTGCTTACCTGCTACGTATGCCCCCTGATTACACACAGTTGTAACAAATAACACTGTTATCCTCTGCACTCTTGTGTATAAAGTCTCCACCGCACTGAGCTTGGGGAGAGACTGCTTTGAGAAAATATCCCAAGTGTTCTCCATGGCTTGTGCAAGCAATAAACCTTTTCTTCATCTACTTCAGCCTTGGTTGTGCTTTTCCGCTCTGCACTCACCAAGAGACAAACCCATTGGATTCAATTACACTTATTTCCTCTGCTAAAAAACCCCAAGTTCCATCTTCACTCCCCCCACCCCCAACCCCCAACGTCTCTTCATTTCAGGTCTGAGGACAAATATGTGCCTCTTCCGAGAAATCTGTCCTGGTCACCTCCCACACCCAGGGGTCCCACACGTGCGCTGCACCTTCCAATCCATCCTATCATTTATAGGCCCTGTATTGTAAATGTTGGTTTATGTTCCTTCTTCAGCACTAGACTGTGAGACCCTTGAGGGTAAGGACTGTGCAGGAAGAGAGGAGGGAAAAAGGAGAGACTAAGAGATGATTCTTAGAAAGAACCACTGGATAAACATAGGAGGTGAAGGGGCCACTGCAAAGTTGCACATTGTCTGAACAGGCATGAAGACTCCTTGAGAAAACAAGATGAACTTGATGGAGGCTACCACAAAGCAGCAGTTAGATATATGGCAGCCTCGTAGTTGTCTCTTCATGACTACAAGTCAAAGCAGCCTAGCAAACCGGTCCCCAGCATAACTGCATATATTTTAATCTTAGCCCATATAACAACTGGTTGAAATTTTATATATACAAATGCCAAGAACCAATTGTTTTTTTCTCCACATGGGCACGATTGAGTCTGATAAGCAATTTGAGCAAATTACTTAATTTCTAACCATTTTTCTTCACTTGTTGAAAAGAAATGATAAAACTATTCCCCCGAGTTGCTATGATGATGAAATGTGGCAAGGCACGTCAAAATGCATTATAAAATATTGGTGGCAGGTAATAATATAGATAATATATTTATACTATTATTAATATTGTTCCGCGACAGTATCCCTTCCCCCGCAACCTCTCTAAAACACAAGTCCAGCAGGTTTAGGGAGGAATAACAGAGTTCGGCTCTAACTTTCAGGCACCTTCCCATTCCGGCAGCATCTACCCTAATCCAGCATGGCGGTATCGGCCTCTTCAAGTTCACATCCCCGGCTACACTACAAGAGCCTTACCGCACCACCCGCGGGGTAGTCTCAGCTGCCCCGGCGCCCTTTGACGACGTCAAAAATCCTCGCCTGGAGAGCGGGCGGCGCAGGTTTGCGCAGGCGCAATACGCCCGCGGGTGGGCGGAGCTGGTCGGAATGAGTGGCGGAGGGACGGAGACCCCTGTGGGTTGTGAAGCCTCCCCGGGTGGCGGCGACAAGAAGAGGGACTCCTTAGGGACTGCAGGCTCGCCAGCGCACCTCATTATCAAGGGTACGGAGTGATAGGGCTATCGCCCTGGTGGATCCCAGCGCAGCCCCGCCTCCCAGGCGGCGCCCTCTGACCGGGGGCCGCGCCCCAGGTCGCCCCCCAGCTCCCGGGCGGCCTCGCGTTTGTGGCGGTTGGGGGAGTCGTGGCTGGTGCCCACCTAGTTCCCCGCGCCAGATGCCTCCCAGTAACAACAGATCAACTCAGTCCCTCTTACTTCCTCAAAAGAGCCGCGGACGGGAGCCGTCGGGCCGCCTCCTCTCTCCCTCCCCTAGCCCGGGACCCCGGGGCGCAGAGCAGCTCTGGACGCGGCCTCACGACCGACCTGTAACGCAAAGAGCACCGAGAGTGGGAGTCGGGGAGGGCCTGCGCCCCCAGGCAGGTCGCGTAGGAGTTGTGTGGCTTTGGGTCGCTCGCTTTACCCGCTCTCTGACCCTGTCTGCTCCTGGGTCGTTCAAGGGTTGTAAATGGGATAACAGATGAAAGCGTCTTGAAAATACTAAAGCGCCATATACATGTACAGATGTCCATTTGTCCTGTCTGCTTTGAGCTGGGAGAAGTTTACAACCTAGTTAAAACCTGGATTCTCGCAGAACCTGAGTGAGATTTCATTCCCAAAACTCACAACAGCCCTGTTTCCTGCAGCAAGATCTTTGCGTTAGGTACTGCACTGTCTCATCATCATCTCTGAACCCCATGCTTATCCTGTCAGTCCCGCCATCGTGCATTATTGGAGCCCTTTTAGGATTCCAGAGTCCTTCAGCACCACCCAGGGAATGGCATCTTTCAGTTGCTGCCTGTTGCATTTTAACCTTTCCGGTCAGGATTCTAGGCAGCACCAGCACAGCTGGCTGTGGCTATTTCTAGACTTCAGGTTGACTCTTGAATCTAATTAGGAGTTTGGGAGTGGTGCATGGGTGCTAGGGCTAAATTATAGTTGTTTATGTGTGCAATCTTAGTGAACTAACTACCAAAATTTTTTTTTAATTGTGGTAAAATACATGTAACATAAAATTTATCTTAACCATTTTTAAATGTCCAGTTCATTGGTATTAGTACATTCACATTGTTGTGCAACCATTAGCACCATCCATCTCCATAATTTTCTCATCTTCCCAAACTGAAACTCTTACCAATTAAATACTAACTCCCCATCCTCTCCTTCTCCTCCAGCCTCTAGCAACCACCCTTCTACTTCTCTCTGAATGTGGCTACTCTAGGTACTTCATATAAATAAAATTACACAGTATTTGTCCTTTTATGATTGGCTTATTTCACTTAGCATAATGTCCTCAAGGTGCATCCATGTTGTAGCATGTGTCAGAATTTCCTTTTTAAAGCTAAATGATGTTCTGTTGTGTGTATATACCACATTTTGTGTATCCATTCATCTGTGGATGAACACTTGAGTTGCTTCCACCTTTTGGTTATTGTGGATAATGCTGCTATGAGCGTGGATATGCAAATATCTGCTTTGAGTTCCTGCTTTCAATTCTTTTGAGTATATACCCAGAACTAGAATTGCTGGATCAAATGGTAGTTCTATTTTTAATTTTTTGAGCAATCGCCATACTGTTTTCCATAGTGGCTGTGCTATTTTACATTCTCACTAACAGTGCACAAGGGTTCCAATTTCTCCACATCCTCACCAACACTTGCTATTTTCTGTTTCTTTGGTAGTGGCCCTCCTAATGGGTATAAGGTAGTATTTTGTAGTTTTGATTTGCATTTCTCTAGTGATGAGTGATGTGGAGCATCTTTTTATGTACTTATTGGCCATTTGTATATCATCTTTGGAGAAATGTATATTCAAGTCCTTTGCCAATTTTTTAATCAGGTAGTTTGTTTTTTGATGTTGTTGAGTTGTAGGAGTTCTTTATATGTTCTTGATATTAACCCCTTTTCACATGCATGATTTGCTTATGTTTTCACCCATTCCGTAGGTTGCCTTTTCACTCTGTTGATTGTATCCTTTGATACACAGAAGTTTTTGATTTTGATGTAGTACTTTCTTTAAAAAAGATAATTCATGGGAAGTTTTTCAAGTTAATCCAAAATTGAGTTGTAATTGAAAATATGTCTAGAACTTCCTTGGCTTTTTTTATGGAACCATTCACTCATCATTCTGAAAATCCATTTTTAGTTCGTCTTATTTGAAGACCATCAGTTGTAAACAGATATTTGTTGAATTTTATTGCCAGAGTCTAGTGAAAGGGAAACATACAAGTAAATGATTTCAATACTTATGCCCTGGGTCTTTGAGGGTTTCTGACCCATGGGTGGGTGTTAGGAGGTAGGGACTGGGAGACAGGAGGTACTTCCTGGAGGATGGAGTGTCTGATCTGGGTCTTGAAGAATAAAGTGTTAGCAGTTAAGAAAAGAGGGCAAGAGTACTTTGGACTTAGTTTGGACCAGCATGAGCCTAGGCGTGGAGGCCTGAAACAGCATGGTATTTTTGGGAAACTACACGTATTGCCACAGTGTGACTCTGAGAGAGGTAGAGTTTGGTGGAAATCAGACCATAGAAGACTTCTTGCCTTTTTAAGGAGATTGGACTTTCTCTTGAATGGCAGGAAAATATCCAACAATTATAAGTACGAGAGTCACGTGGTTAGATTTGTATTTTAAATGGAGCATTCAGGCAGTTAATAGTCGATCCTCATCTTGTGGATTGTGTATTTGTGAATTTGCCTACTTGCTCAAATGAATTTGTAATTCCACAATCAACATTGGTGGTGATTTCAAGGTCATTCTGACATGCACAGAGATTTGAGTCTCCCTGTGCACACATTCCTAGCTGAGATTGAACAAGACAACATTCTGCTTTTTGTTTTAGCTCTCATACTGGAAACAAGTGTCGTTTTTGCTTTCTATTTGGTGCCACATATTTTGCATTTTTGTGCTTTTTATTGGTGATTTCACTGTTTAAAATGGTCCCCAAGTGTAGTGCTGAAGTGTTCCTAAGCGCAGGAAGGCTGTGTTATGCCTTACGGAGAAAATACCTGTATTAGAAGTTTCTTTCAGGCATGAGTTACAGTGCTGTCTGCTTCATAGTTCATGTTCAATGTTAAACAACAATCCAGAAAAAGGAAGGAAATTAATTGATCTGTATGTGAGGCCACTCCGGAAAGTATCAAAGTGACATTTATAGTGTGTGATGAAGCAATGGAAAAGCAGTTAAATTTGTGGATTCATGAGATGATGACCAGTAAAGAAAGTATAGTGGACAGCATTGTTGTGAAGCTGAAAGCCAAAGTTTGTGATCAGTTACCAAGGGTCAGGAGAATGTTAAACCCTCTGGGCTAGTGCTGGCTGGCACTTTCGAAGGTAGTACAGTGTGAAAAATGTTAAACTTGCATGTAAAGCAGGTTCTGCAGATCAGGAGGCTGTGGAAGAGCTTTAAAAATACCTACTAAGTGTTCTACAGGAAACAGTGTTATTGGAAGAGCAGATTTCCAACACTTAGACTGGCATTTTTTACCAGGATGTTGGTAAAGAAACCTTTGTGACACAAAGGGTGTTTTGATTAACAAAAATGTGACCAGAGGCTTGCAGGAACCTAACCCTCTATTTCCTCTAGGAGCAACAGTTCAGTATTTGCTAGTTCAATGTTGGAGGCAACTTTATAAACATAACTACTGCAAATAACGAGAACTGACTCCATATGGAGTGGGTTATAGAGAGGTGTGACTAGCTCTGTTGGAATAGTTCACATGAGACAAGCCAGGATGGAAAAGGGGATGGATCTGAGAAGTAGTGAGGAAAAATAACATCTGTATGGTGATGCTATGGGTGTTACCAAGAAAAATTGCTGATGCAGTAAGTTGTTCCCTATGATATGCAAAGATCACATGTTACATCCTCCAAATTCAAGGCCAGGGAAAAAAATTTTCCTTTTCTTAGAGCTTGAGAGATCTGCGATTTACTGTGTTTCTCCTTGTTCCATAGTCCCATAGCATATTGACCTTCTATTAAAGTGCTTATCTCTATTTTTTGTGTGAGGGGACATTTGTCCAACTCCCACATTAGAGAATGAACTTTTGGAGAACAAAATTTGGCATCTTTTATCTTGTATATCAGACAACAAAAGAAGGCTTTGCATGTAGCAGGGCTAGAGTGGGACTTATGTGAAAATCTGTAGCTTACATTTACATTATTAAACTTAGAGGGGCCGGCCCCATGGCTTAGCAGTTAAGTGTGCACGCTCCGCTGCTGGCGGCCCGGGGTTCGGATCCCGGGCGCACACCGACGCACCGCTTGTCCGGCCATGCTGAGGCGGCATCCCACATACAGCAACTAGCAGGATGTGCAGCTATGACGTACAACTATCTACCGGGGCTTTGGGGAGAAAAAGGGGAAAAAAAAAAAAAGAGGAGGAGGATTGGCAATAGATGTTAGCTCAGGGCCGGTCTTCCTCAGCAAAAAGAGGAGGATTGGCATGGATGTTAGCTCAGGGCTGATCTTCCTCACACAAAAAAAATAAAATCAAATCAAAAAATAAACTTAGAAATTTATTTGTAATCCTTGGAACTCCTACAAATTCTGAATTATTTTAATGTGCTTGTTTTGTTGTTGTGATGTTATAAAAAACTAGTTAGTGGCTTAATTTCTATGGTAATATCTATTTCAGAATCTTTTTTTCCTTAAATCTTTACACTTAAATTTTGGAGCATAGTCGGGGGTTTAGAAGTGATCATTATCTGCTTCTAAACAGAATTGAATTATCTCTCCAAAGGCTAAGTAAATTTCCATTATATCATGCCACAGAAGCAGATCTCCCCAAATCAACAAAGCTTAATGGCTTCTCAGTCATATAGAAACATACATCTTAACTCGTATATCCTCTGTGGATAATATAAATAATTTGGTCTCTTGGATACTCATTGGAGGAGAGATATAATTTCAGGACAGTGGTTTGATAGAAGTATATGCCTGAGGTGCTTTGGGAGCATAAAGTAGGGGCACTTCTTGAGACCTAGGAGGAAGCTAGATAAAATAAATGAAAA